TTTCTCGTTTCTCGTTGAACACCCTCGTTCGAACGTAGTTTGGAGAGGTGGTGAACCGAGTAACGGTTGTTTGATTAGAAGTCAAAGGTGCATCGATCAAATCAACGACGCCGACACCGGCGGCTATTTGACGATCGTTTTGGTTTCTGCTTTAATCGATCAAATCAACGGCGCCGACATTCGGCGGCGGATATTTGACGGTTTTGATTGACGTGTGTTTTGTGTTTTTCTTGAAAACCGTGCGCAGTTAACACACGAGTTTCGCCAACGAAACAAGTGTCGATCTATCGATGAAAGGGGCGTTTTTTGTTATGAAATGGGCAGTCCTGTTAGAAATAAGTTGTTTACCAACTATGTTACAATTTTTATTAATCATATTATGAACTTTTTATAATAAAAAGTATTTTACTCTATACTAATTTTTTTAAAATGCCTAGTAAATATTTTTCTTTCATTTTTAACAACAATTGTAATTCCTTTCAAAATTTCAAGATTTAATTATTATGTTTATTATATCATTCTTGTCTGAATAACTTATGTTTCCCTTGTTATAATGTACCAAATTTTTAACAAGTTTATAATATTTAACCGATAAAATCCGAATCACTCACTATACCGGTTCATACTTTGAATGATTCTACAACGTTAGAAAAAATCGCTCACTCTATAACTAATTATTTATTTATTATTATTATTATTTTTTTTTTTTTAGCTGTCATCAACAATAAAATATTTTAATACGAGTAAATCGATTTTGTATAATAATAAAAGAATCCCAACTCATGTACTCAAGAATAAACACAAATAAACCACAAATTTTAAAAGCATTTGAGCTTTATAGAGCGTAGGCCACCAATCTTTTTTCATTTTGGTTTTCTATCTTTTCGTTTGTTCCAATCCCAATCCAAAAGTCTTTTTGGAATTTCGCAAAGATTGATCATCATCACTTGATCCAACGCATCTAAACCCAATCATCAACTTCCCTCATTGCATCGACACAAACTGTTTTTTCAGCCAAGTGAATGAAAATTGGAAGAAAATGAGGTTATGTAATATGTCTGTATGCGTATGGTGTGTGATTTGTCCCTTCTCCAACATTACCATATAAGATTCTCCACGATACAACATATATGATTGGAAAACCATCATTGGTTTTGACCACTTTTTTTATTCCATCTTAGAAAATTCTCCCCTTCCACTACTCAATTTCCCCCCTTTTTTATCCCTCGCCCTCACTTTGTCTTCTTTTATTTTACTACGTCTAGTTTGCTAATTGCTAGCTAAAATAAATCGTTATAGGGTTTTTTGGATACTCGTATGTTCGCCTATATATGAGCTGAAGGTGTACATTGATACAGAATAAAAACTAATAATAACAAAACCTAAACCTATCAAAATAAGTGCTACATTGTTAGTTTTGTTTGTGTTTTTTTAGATGAATGGTTGTGCATTTGTCATATGTCTTATTCATCCAATTGTGGAAGTTGAGGTATCCGTAATGATTATAGATTCAGGTTGTATTAATGATGTACCGCCAATGCATAACCTGTTAGTTTTACAACTAGAACGAGATACTTTTTTAGTCAATGAAAATTTCCTTCAAGACATCTTGTACTCTTACCTAAGAAAATACAATAAAAATTATTGAGCTTTGTTTCAGTCACCAATCCAGGCTTAATCCATTAAATAATCAGGTCGTCTATACAGAGTAAAATTCTGCTATGGAATGAAGCCCACAAGAGAACAAAAGCCGCTTAATTAATTATTGCTTAGATGCAGTTAGTTGTCTGCAATCCCATAAAAGAATCGAGGAGTTTAATATGATAAACAGTGTGGAATTCACGATATGACTACTTTTGATTGTTGGAGTGAGTGAAAAATGAGGCTTTCAGTTTCATACATCCTTCCAAATCAGAGAAATGCTAGAGGTTGGTTGGTCACAGGCACAGTCCTGAAAAATCAAATATATGGGGCACCACTTTAATTTCTTAGGGAATGTGTGGGGATATCACTTATGATAGCTAGGGTAGTTATGGTGATTCCTGATTCACATACTTGATGTATAATTTACTTCGAAAATATCATGTACATGTCATTAATTCATTACTTAGGTTAAATAGAGTATGTACCTTTTGTTGTGGGTCGATGGATAAAGCGTGAAGTCGGACGACATTGAAAATGTTTGGCACGACCTAGATGTTCTATTTTGTCGAATGTGGAAACTCTCCCTCCGGATAGTCCTTTTTACGTGAGCTTAAATGGATAACTCGAGAGGGAGTCCAAGTGGGAATAGGATTCTCCATGGTATAGATCATGAGTCGGCATGCTTGGAACATCATTCGTCAGTCTATTTTTTGTAGCTAGAGGGAAAAGACACCCAAGTGACTTTTTCTCGACAGTTTTCGGCCAACTTTCTTTGCTTTGTTTTGTAGTTGATTCAAACCTTGATTTACTAGATAACAAGTTAGTCCGCGAAGTAATAGTGCATTTGTAACCCGGGTTGATAATTAAACTTTACTTCCGCTATACTACCCTCGATCGTTGATTGCACTTAGCCACGATTGGGATAATAGAGATAGTAGGAACGCGTCACTTTTCAATAGTGTAATGGTCTGTGAAGCCTCCCTTCCAACTCGGAAGAACGTTTGAGGTAGGGCTATCTTACTGGCAATTTATGAAATTTGTACAACACTGTCGAGTCATTGTTCTCCGCCATATGTAGTAGTGCCAATACGATTTCTTATTATGTGACATGACATGTCCTTCATTATCTTATGTTACTGCACCGTTTAGCTGATTTTGCTTTTATTTGCTCTTCACACAAAGATTCTTGGTTTACTAATTGTACTAGACTACTTGTATTATCCTTTTTGGGTATGTAATGACAATATATAGGAATCATGTTTGTTTACTTTCTAGCCAAAACATTTTGGCACCAACAATGAGCCATGAATAGCTAGTACCTATCTTTATTTCCTTGCATTCAATTTCCTCCTTGTAAGATGGCCAAAAGTTCAAACTCCTAATGATGGAAAACTCACTGGCTAGCATGCCCATGATTTTTAATCCAACTTTACTGAAATCAAAAGTAAAACATAATCATGAGGCTAACACGTACCCTTTCCCTTCCCCCAATTGTGTTGTGGGGAACAGAATCGATTTCCCCCCACTGGCTCAACAATCATCAAGTTCCATTCCATTGGTGACATGGACTAGACACCAACACCCACAAATCATACACATTCCTGTATGTTTATTCGGGTTCCTTCTTAATTTTACCGTAAATGTCGAGGGCTTTTGTACGTTAATTCTCTCGTTAATTCTCTCAAAATTCTTATGTATGAAAGAGATCTTATACATGAATTCTTACGATCGCTTAATAATTGATTTAAATACAATGTATGATAGACTTGTGCAAAGATTGGATGTCGGTCTACCAATCAAGAAAACTTTTTCTACTAGCAAATAACTCACTCAAACACTGGCCAATAGGAATGGCAACACGGTAGGTCGGGGCGATATCTCGATACTCATTATGTTTAGGTCGAAATTGACATTCCTACCAACCAACTAGGTTCAAACTTTTATCCATCAATCATCTGATCCTGAAATGGAAAACCAATCAACAAAGTCAGAAGTGAAACAACTACATATGCATTCAGCGAGGTGAAAAGAGAGATAACTCATTAGTTATGGATTCAATTTTTGTTCTCTCCTTTGCCAGTACTGTGTATGGACCAGTTGAAAATAATTGAAGCTCTCAATCGAACCTCGTGTGGCAACTGGCACCTTATTTTCTTATGAAAGGATTTTGTAGCACCCAGGAATCTATGTCCCCAATTAGCCTTCCATCAGATCCCATGAATCCAAAAACGTTTCAAACACCAACCATGAAAAGGATTTCATAAAAGGGGTTTTCATTGTTCTGAATGTTTTTTTCTAACGCCATTGAAACTTGGTCACTCTCATGACTAAATGGAAAAAAGGGGGGGAAACAAGTTGGAAAAATGATCTGTACCCATCAAACTAATCGAGTAGTGTCTCCATAGCAAGGAGGAGCAGGATGATAATTCTACAAGTGATATTTGACTCGTAATTATTGTTATAAGAATCGAAATGGTTCGGTGGCTCAATTAGTAGAACCGTTAAACCAATTATAAACTTATAATAGTTGTTCAATCTATTTGTTTAGATGGATGGGAATGAACAGAACGATTTTTAAACAGTGAGACATAAAATTGGACGAGCAACCTTGATTTGACCGGTCTACGGATTCACTATTTTAACCACAACAAAAAAAATTAAAAAAAAAAACACTTTAACCTCAGCTCAAACTCATTACCCTTCGTGTCGGGGTTGGGAAACACCCACCAAAAAATAATATTGATAGAATTTTTCCCAACAAAATCGAAATCGATTAAGTAGGATGCCTACGGTGCAAGTAATTTTTTTTTTTTTCAACAATACTACGATACAAGAACTAGCAATATCATTAACCCACCATTTTTATTGAGAAGTCTTCTGTTTCAGTGGCAGCCACCAGCCAGTGTCTTTTTATGTGTTACTGGATGCACGGGTAAACAGTAAATAGCACTTGACCTTGGAAGGTAAAAGAAAATCTCCATGGAACATGGAGACCAGATTTGTTCCACACACCACGCTTAGAAGCTCAAGTTGGAAGAAAAAGCTGTGTCCCCACCAATCCCAATTGAAGCAGAAGTTGAAAAGAGCCTCTCTTTTTCCCCCATTTTGATTTTACCGCCCACAACCACAACTGACATCCGCAATCCTCCTCACTAGTAACTACGCATTCTTACTCAAGGGTGAAAGCTGAATGAAAGCCTGCAGATGGCACTCAATCGTAGAAAAGCAGTAACCTTTTCCTCTGTTATGTTCCCTTCAAACCACAAGACTGTTCAATGTTCATACTAACCCCTTGACTCTACACACTAACTTGTTGAAGTCTCTCTGCTACAATTTACTTGTTTCACAAGTATGAACCCGAACCGCCCACCAATGGACATCATACCGCCCCCGCACTCATTGCCTTTATCTGCGGCATTAGTTATCTTCTCGATTCGAACACCAAATCTCTCGCTACCAAAACCAGTCAGAAGAAAATGAAAGAGATGGTCGGCCACACCTTGGAAACATAACTTGTGATGACATTAGCATAAGGCGGGGGGAAATGTTCAAATTATGATAAGCAGCAGCAACATTGATATGATATGACCTACTGTACATGAATGAGGTTACTAAGTAGACACTTTTTCTAGAGAGGACCCAGAAGAGGTCTGTATGGCTAAGTAGTAGCTAGGAACAGAGATAAAATAGAGAGATGGGGAACTTCTTCTGTAAGGAGAAGGACCATGAAGAATGGGGTTAAAGATCAGACCAATGGCCAAATGGGTAGTGTTAGAAACCACTGCCACACATGGCTGGCTAATTAAAGACTCGAGCTTTAGAGGCAGGGCAGGGCAACTGAACTTTAGAAAGGCTGAGGTGAAGCGGAAGAACAGAGCTCAATCGACCCATAATGCAGCAGCTCCTCGATCATTTGCTCAATTTGATGATCCTCCAATGGCTTGAACAGCTGCTGGTTGCTCTCCACTTGAACATTCTTACAATTCACACCCACCCAATTCGACTCTGTTTTCACCCTGGCATTTGCATAAGTAGCTGCTGGCGGCTTCGAAGCTTGCTGCTGCTGCTGCTGCTGCTGAAGGGAAGCTTGTTTGGTCATTTGGAGCGAGGCCATGTAGGACCTGTGCAGCTTGGCGGTGAGATTGGCCGACAGGAGTTTGGAGGAAGCAGACTGAGGCACATTTGGGTTGTACGGGAAGTTGGTCCTCGTCCTTGGCCCGCACATCAGCCGAGCCGCTTCGTCGTAAGCTCGAGCCGCGTCCTCCGCCGTCTCGAACGTGCCCAGCCAGATTCTGGTCTTCCTGTTTTCATCAAAGAAGCAAACACACAAACCAACATGAGAAAATGTCTGAGGACATACAGGGGGAGCGAAAACGTTTCGGGGCCAGGAAACAGAGAGAGTTCATGAAACGTTGGAGAAATGGAGAGAATGAGAGGTCTTACAATAATGGGTGGCGAATTTCGGAAACCCAGGATCCCCAGTGGCGCTGTCGGACGCCTCGATACCGTTGTTGTGGTCTGGCCATTTTGGTGAAAAGGGGAAAAGTGCTGGGGAAGAAAGGTGTTCGATGAAATGCGTGAAAGAAGAGAATGAATGAATGAAGGTGGGGAAGAGGGAGGAGAGTGACTCTTAGAGGGGGGTTTTGTAGTTGGTATTGTTGACAGAAATGGGAGCAAAGCAAATGGTAATCTATTGTATTTTATTTTTAGTTATTCCTTTCCTTTGGCTTCCTCTGGAAAGCAATTTTATAAGAAGATGGTCCTAACTCCTACTTACTAAGCTGGTTTTTAATTGGCTTGTTGCTTAGCTAGTTAATAGTTGTAATGAACTAATTACATATTTTTATAATGAGTAACGGACCCAAAAATTATATATAGTAAATTCATAAAAAAAAATAATTATATATAGTAGTATTTCGTATGATAAATAAATAATATTGGACCAGTACAATATTTTGAGTGACGGACCCAAAAAATCGCGATGAGTTTTCATATTTCGAAAACACTGTAAAACACACTCATTATCTAGTGTTCAACAAATGTTTTTTAGTATATCAAACAAGATAATCATTCATGAGTTGGTAGCCTATTCGATTTTGAAACTTGTTCTTCGTGCGTTAGAATGGTAATCAGGACGGGATAGTCCTTAGCCGAATTGGAGGTAATTAGTAGTTTTGAAGAAAAAAATTGGGATGTAATTATATTTATGTTTTAAATAAGTAAATATGTGTTCTAGACTAATGGAGAACATATTCATTAATATCAATAGTGTCATGGGTTTAAATCACATAAACTGCACTTTCTTTTTTTGTGTTTTTGCACATACTCAAACTACTATTGGAAGATCGATAACCGTTTTCAAAAATTTTACTATTTTAGTGGTGTCTCGAGACACTCCTAGGACTTGAGGAGACTTGCCTGGTTCCCCGTATAGATGCGCTCTAACCAATATTATTAGTTAGTTTAGGGTGAAAAGTAAGTCACTAGGTAAGCGAGACAAACTTCGTAGTAGAACGAAAATACCTAATGAATGAGATTTAACCTGAAATGTTAATTATTGAAGAAGATTACTAATGTATTTTTCCCCCCTCATTTCATCCAAATAAGAAACCTGACCAAGTTCAGCTCACTCACATGTGACATGTCCACTATGGTTGACGTTATTTTAGTGACCAAATTTCCAATTTAATCAGTGGAAAAATTAATTAATTGATTAATTTTGTAATAGTGTTCCCCTGGTGGTGTAGAAAATCTAAGGTCGTAGTCTGATGGATTCTTGGTCTTCTTCTTCTTCATTGTGAGATGGCATCCGGTAAGCAACGAGATATCGACGTCCCCTACCATCCCCACACTTGGTATCCTTTTCTATTTTGTTCTATCTGCGCCCACATGCACCACTCTTGCATGTGGCATTAATTCAGCAAAAAAAAAAAATTAGTCTATTCTATAATTAGCTACACAATTTATGACTTTGAATGTGTCAATCCTCGACAACTAGCAAAGAATTATAGGGAAAAAATTTTGTGGATGATCTCTGCAGGGTGATCTTTGAACAAAATGATGAGTATCATTGATTCGATGGAACCAAAGATCCAAACTGTTGATGCGCGGGGCGATGGTTGGACGCGAGTTATGACAAACTGGTGCATCACGTCAATTTTTATGGTTCGTGCTTAAGAAGAAGAAGAAGTAGAAGACCGTTGTTCATTCGTGGAGGCCGGGTTGCTTAGTTATTTGATATGTTGCTAATTGTTCAAGAGGCCGAACAACTCATGTTTATAATCTGTTGACGTACTGCTTAAACAAAACTGGTGCTAATATCGTAGAGTCATCGTCAGTAGTAGTTGGGATCGTACGCGATGGTGATTTGTGTGAAGAAAAATTATCGCAGCATGTACGATTGGCCGTGTTCGGCATGAATTGAATATTTGAACCCCTACAATTTGATTTCACGAGGGGGAAAATGAAGGGGGGAGGGGGGATACTGTATGGTGGTAAAATGAGCAGTTTTATGGTTCAGGGCTTCTTCAATTACAATTAGAATGCTGTCATTTCATCAGGAAAACAAGTTTTGGGTAGAAAACCTGTCATAATTTGGTCAGTTTGGTCAAAATTACAAATAAGGGATACAGATGATCAAAAAGATTCCTGGACAACCATAATTGCCCTACCAAAATCCAAATCATGATCAAAATCTGGTTCATCATTAGCTAGGAATCAAGTTACGTTAACCCCACAGTGTTTTATTTTTATCTCAAAAGGATCCTTTTTCAGGTGGGTATATTTACCTGTTTGGTAAAAAAACCAATTTTTCCCTCGAAGTGGGTCCTTTTTTTTTTTTTTTGCATTTTAGTTACTCCGCATTTTTTGTTAATAATTACCTTTTGGCACATTTTTTTTTTATAAGAAGCCTGGGAAATATTATTAGGTGGGAATTACTCAGTTCTTCTGGCCACAGGGCCCCTTTTGGCACATTTTGAAGATAATGTATTCAAATAGGTACCCCTGTTGTTGGAAGATGAAGAAGGCAACAAGCAATCTCATGGTTTTGGGTTTCTGCAGAATGAGTAAACAATAAAAAGAATTTGCTTTTGTCCAGAATGGAAAAATGATTCAAGTACATGATTGCTGCTAAAATTGGAATTTTTGGCCAGATCCCAGATGATAGCAAAGGGTAAGGGCCCAAAAAAGAGGTGAATTTTTTTTATATATGTCAAGAAGTGGGAGTTTTTTTTGGATTATGCATTTCACTGATATCCCACACAGTCAACAGTGTGTTTTTATATAAAAGTGTATTGGTGATTTAGAAGGGTAAATCATAACGTTTTAAGCTATAAAATGCATTTTTAATTACATTATTTATAAAAATATGATTTTGCATAAAAGCGTTTTTCTTACCTAAGAGCGAATAGCGTAATTTTTAAATTTTAAAGCGTGATTTTAAGTCTAAACTATGATTGCTAAAACGGGTTCCGATTTTTTTGGTTAACAAAATTAAACTTAAAAACCCGTAATTAAAGCGAATATTCTGTAATTTGTTTCGATCAAAACAAATCAATAAATTGCTAAGAAACTTTTAATAATAACACCAATACGACCAAACCAATTTAGCTTTATAATTTCTTCATAACGAAATCGAGCAGTTAAAGACTTATAGATTCTCAATGACTTCGATTGACCATTGTTTTCAATGCTTTCAGTTACATTACAGGGAAATACAAGGTTGTTGCTATTCGTTTTTGTGATTGATTATTGGATTAACCAAAGAATCTAACCATTTCACCATCCCGAATAAACTACATTCACGAGTAACTCACAAAGTGATCGACATGGAAATTCTGGTTTTGTCTCCACTGACACATGCAAAGCACTTTCTGCAACCATGCATATAGCCTGAGCAGTCCCTTGTCCCTTTAGGGAGGCCTAGCTCTTTCCATGTCAGTTTGTGGTCTCTCATATGGCGGATATCCCATGCATCATGTAGTTGCAATTTCTGACCGGTAGGAAAGTTTAATGTTTCCTGACGACCCAAACAACTGATTTCACATGGAGGCTGCAAAACATACCATGTTGATCATCTTCTGATCCCCCTGGATTTGTTCTTCTCTCTTTATCTTTTTTTTTTTTAAGACATATTTCATATCCAATTCCATTATTTCAATGGTGGTGAGCCGTATCTTAATTAGGACATCATTCAACAGAAATCATCCATACATATCTTTGTTTCTCGTACAAATGTTGACTCCTCTAGAGGGACCGGGAATGAGGACATATTTCGGGCTACGTTTGGGCCCACGATTGGTTGATTAGTCCACACCTACTTTGAAGCGAGTTCCATTTAACTCTGTGTTCACCCTTGATTTCTTCAATCGGTCAACACAGATAGAGTTTATAATTGGGTAAACTCATTACAATTTACTAGTCAAATTATTTCTGCTCGTCCTTGTTGCTAGTCCACCATTTTTTCAACATCCACCATCTCTAGACACACAGACGAAAACTTAATTAGTTAGATCACCCCATGTAATTTTAATGACATTTAGAGAACTCTCTTTAATCCGAAAATTTAGTCACGTAGCCATGAAACCTCACCTCATCAAACACACATCTTGACCGGTCTCATCCCACTGGGAGATGGCTCTCTCAACATTGGCACATGATGATGATGAGGTGAAACTTACATGAGGGAAAATGGACAAGAAAGTTGAAGGGACAAGTTGTAGAGCACTGATGTGATATCATGCAAAGAAGAAAAGATTTGTCTGAACTGGATTTGGATTACAGCGAGCTAAACACCAAGCAATCAAGCTGGTGTCCATTGGCTATATCCAAAGTCAAGATTAACGAAAAGGAAAGACCAACTGATCACTCCTTCGTTAATTAATCATCATCACAACACAACACAACACAACACCTAAGCTACAATACAAACCAAACTATGGAGCCCACAGAGACAAAGGGGAGAAAGAAGAACAAAATATTTGCGCGTTATAGTTCGATGAAACAACAACATGGGTAGTGATGTTTTCCTATTCATGCATATACATAAGACCAAGATGCATCTGTGTTAGTTACTTGTCTTTCGTAATTCTTTGACGTTATAAAGAGACAAAGACCAGGAAATGCGCTCAAGTATTTCAACACGGTAGTAGTAGTAGCTGGATGGAGATTTTGATCATTTCTTTAGTTAATTGAAACCACAACCACAATCGTTCATTTGAGGAGCTTATTTGTCTCTCGCGTTGCACTTTATTTAGAGTTTTACAAGCTGTCTTTGTTTTAATGTGCAAAATTTGTATAGAATGCATTCTTGTTAATTAGGTTCTGAGTTCTGTTTAATTATCTCGGGGCACAAATAGGCCAGACTGTTTCGGTCTATGAATTGGGTCATTTCTGTTCTAACATATTCGGTCAAAACTAAATCAAGGGTAATCATCTAGCTAGACTGGTTTAATGAAATTTATGGAATACTTAATAATAACTAGCTTATGACCCGACCAATTGGCCGAATAGTATAATCAAGATTCGGTACCTTATGGTTGTTCAACAATTTGATCTGGTTTGAAATTGGACCAACTCATAATAATCAAGATTTTTAATTTTATTGGATAACTTATGATCAAAATCTGATCATCAATATTTTCGAT